TATATATATATATATATATATATATATACATGTGGATATAAATATAAAAACATACTAAAAAATTGTCTATATATATATATAAAATAAAATTTTTGATTGTTATAATTTCTAAAATTTCTTTCGATATTTGTATAATAATTTCACACTTACGTACGTGTGTAGATAAGTGAATATACGTGTAAATAATATGTATACTTGAAAGTTTCATTTTAATGAATGATTAGAAAATAATGACTTGAGAAAAAAGAAAAATAAAAGGAGAAATTTAATAACAAAGAAAGACTGGGTAATTAATGGAATATTAACAAATTAAAAATCTGGACGATAATGGAGTTTTAATTCGTGTTCTTATAAATTGTTTTCAATTTCAAATTTCTTTTAGAACAGATTTGAAACTTGCATAAGTGCCTGGTTTATCCGATATTAGCAAAAAGTTTACAGGTAATAAGAGAGACATAAAGGAAAGATGATAACTCTATTATAACCCTGAATGATCTGGATCATTTTCTGTTTCCGGCCTAAACTCGATTAATTTTCACATTTCTGTAGAATTTGATTTTTATTATACAAAAAGTATTAAATTCACTAAACAATAATCATTGATTAACAAAACTTGATTTCAAAAAAAATTTAATTTATTAAATAAGTACCTGTCGAACATCTGTATCGGATATTCGCTGAAATAATTTAACGAATGAATTATTTCACAAGTAAAATATGAAAAACATTGATATTTAACTGAAAACGAAATAAAACATCGAATTTAAATCTCACTATTCAATTTATTGTTTTTCGATTAAAGAAAAAAAAGTTTCAATCTCTCATTTTATTTGATACAATATTATTCGCAATAAATTCAAATGATAGGATAGGTTACAAAAACCACCTTCTATTAAGGATTCAGAAACTAATCAAAATTTAATATAGATATGAACAAACCTGAAGATCGGTATTTAATACCATAATCTTCTCCGTTGATATGAATAAATCGATATCTGTACTTGGCTGAATTTCACCTGCTGGTGCCTTAAATTATAAAAAAAATATTTTTCGATGGAAATAATCTATTTTCGGATATTTTGAAATTTTTAAATTCTGTAAATCAAAAACCTTCCTAATAATTTGTAATTTTTATTAAAACCAAATGAAATATACAGCGCAACAAAGAAAAAAAATATTCGCAAATTTTTATTTACAAATTTCAGAATTTTATAAATCAAAAGATTAGATGAAGATAAAAATGTATCAGTTGTTGAATAATAATGTACGGTAGGAAAAAAAAAAAGCATATCAAAGTTATTTGAACAATTTTGATATTCGAACAAAATCAATTAAATATTTCAATTTCAAATATTTCTAACTTTAACCCGAGCTACTGCTTCTTGTGCCTGCATCATACGACTTGCTTTCGTTGGTCTTCCTTCACAAATTAGCTGTGTTGAACCTAAATATCTGGCTCGAAAGAGTACACCTTCAATCAGTACTGCTGGCTCATGCACTATAACTGCAATGTAATGCATAATAAAATTAATTCAACTGAAATAAAAAATAAGATAAATTAAAATTTTGATTTACAAAAAAAAGAGATTATTAAGAATTAAAGTTTTTGCAAATAAATGTAAAATTTGATGTATATATTGTTAAAAAAACGAAAAAAGAGATAATAAACGATATTTTTTATAAATTTTATCGAAACGAAACAATTTTGATTTTAATCATTCAATCAGTTATTTGCAAATTTTGATATGTCTTTAATAGTACTTATTTTAACGGTAAAAAGCAAAAAAAAAAAAGAACGAAAGAAACGAAAAAATTCAAATGCATATGAGAGTATGAACCTTCCTTTTTGGAGCCTTTTTTCGTTTTAATCCCATCATCACCTCCTTGTTCATCCTTTGATAACAAACTTTCCGTTTCATTAATCACTTCATCCGGAGCTGGCTCAAATCCTGCAAAATTTGTTTTTTTTAAATACAAAATTATATTTAATGATAGCAAAAAAATCATTCAAATATGATAAACTGCATATTAGAAATCATAAAATTTAAAAATGTTAAAAAAAAAACAATATCTGATATTATATATAAAAGTCTGTAAATTGATAACAGATTTACTCACTCTCAGAATTTTTATTCATTTCCACAGCTTGTTCATTGCTTTGATTTTCTTCCCTTTGAACCCTCTTCAAATATGAATCTCTACAATGAAAAGATTTTATTACATTCGATAAAGTAACAAAATTTGAATACCTATATTAATTTTGAATAAACGCAGATAAACAAGCAGAAATGAGAAGAAATAAATGACGCAAAAAGCAACGAAAATCTTATTAAAGTTGATGACATGTCTAATTTTCCCATAGGAATAAGGTAAAAGTTTGAATTGATGCTACTGAAATTTAATTTTGAAAATCTGTTTTATAATTAACTGAAACACTTTTGTGAAATCACTTAGTAATTAGACAAATATCATAATTTAAAAAAGGAAATATTTGAATAAAATGTCAAATGTAAAATTTATCTTCCGGCAAAGTCACATACAAGTGAAAAATTTACTGTTCTATAATGTACAGAATGGATGAAAAACTGAATCATTAACCGTCATTTAATAATTACTTATTCGATTAACCGACAAATTATAAACTCTGGCTTTAAGTAATGATAAATTTTAATTTAATGAAGATTAAATTCTAGTAACTAAGTATGCATCTCACGTCCTCACGATACTTTACATTATCGCATACAAGATATATCATATATATTACGATACCTCATAACCCAAATAGGTTCGCCTTCTATACTATTTTCCTCAACATGTCCATTTTTTATCGTACTTTCCTTGTTGGATATTTGCTTTTCATTCTCCATCCAATCACTTTCACCAGGCCAATTATTCTGTGAAGTCTGAAAAAAAAAGAAGGGAAAACTTCCATACAATAAAAATATTTAAAAAGAATCCCTGAGGATCACCTGAGGATTAAAAGCAAAGAATCAAATTTAAATTAGCATGAAATCATGCAAGAGATCATATAAGAAATTGAGAAAAAAATTAAAATGATTATATAGAATTTCAATAATTGTATTGACAATGTTATCAGTTACGAATACAATTATCAAATATTATCATTTGAATTAATTTATACAGTTATAAGTTAATTTATGAATGTATTAATTCAAATGATTTAGATAGATAAAATATTCCCATGTTACGGGTGAATAAATGAAAATAATGGTACATATATACTCAATGTTATACCTATCATATCACTGATAATCGATAAGTAATAAAACGTTTCTCTGTTTGATAAAGAACGGAATTTGTCATTTTCAAATTCATCAAAATTCTTTTTGTAGCAAGTGCTCTTCGATTGAAAACATACTGTTTAAATTAAAATTATAACAAAAAAAAATTCACCCTTTTTAAAAAAACAAACAAACATTAATGATGCAAACCGTTTGAAGGGAATTTTTTCGATGTCGTTCATCATTCATCTTTGTATCATTTCGTCGTTGGGTTAATAATTTTTGTTGTATATTTGTAGATGTTGTTGCTGTTGGTGGCGTTGTTGTTGTTGTTGCAGTTATTGTTGTTGCTGACGGTAATGATGATGATGGAACAGATTTTGATACTGATGATAATGATAACGATGATGATGATGATGATGGAGGAGGTGGTGGTGGTGGTGGTGGTGGTATTTTTTGTTCCAAACAATCACCATTACTAATTGTAATATCAGTAATAACTGGTGTCATCATACTATTAGTAGTCTGTCTATTGGTTGATATTTCCACATGTTGTTGACCATTTTCAGATGTGATAAAATGATTACTATCAATAATGGATGATGATGGTTGTGATGGTGGAAATGGAAAATTAGAAAATATATTCATTGCTTGTCCGTGTTGAGATTGTTGTAAAATTGCTGCTGCGAGCTTACAAAAAAAAAAAAAAAGAAATGATCGAGACTTTAGCTAATATTAAAAAAAAGAAAAATTCGCTGCAATATATGCAATTATTTTAAAATTGAATCTAAGAATTTTAATAAAATCCTTATATTTATTCTTTCTTTCTCAATTGTCAATTATAAGAAAAATAGGAAAATAATTTTTTAAAAATCTAAATTTGTATTTTAGCATAATCAACATGTAAAAACATTTTTTTAAAAAATTGGAATTCCATAGAATTCTTTAAAAGTTGTACAAATTTAAATCCTGCCCTAATTCATCTCGTAAATTTTTCATTAGAAATATTCAGTCCCACTTTCTTGAAATCTATCCCTTTCCCTCTGTATCCGATGAGCATCAATAGAAAGGAAGAAACAACATCAAACGAATATCATCAAATAAACAATCCGGAAAATGAAGCCAGAATGACTGGGAAATCACAAGACTGAAATAATTTAAGGAAGAGAATCCGAAGTAAACCGGAATTTCAAACTATTCCTTTTTTGCCTAAAGAATGAAATCCTTTATCATTTATGATTTTAGTTTCATTACCATATCTTCATTCATTCATTTTCAAAATCAATATAGATAAGCCAAAAAATGATTTCCTTATATCTAAGATAATTAATACAAACAAACTAAATGTTCAAATTAATTATAACCTCGTGTAACTGGTTTCTGATTGGAGTAACTTTAATTAATATCAGGAAAAGGTAATCAGAATCCTCTACGTTACAACATTTCGAATATCAGGAATAGGCATTCAGAATCCTATGTGTTATGACATTTCAAATATCAGGAATAAGTGTATTCAAATATTTAGAATTCTGTATGTAACAGAAACTCAATAATGGTTATTCAGAATCCTATTATATCATATCATATAAAGTAGTTCATTCATTTAATACCTAAAATTATATTTACATTTCTTTACAACAGTTGCCACTTTTCGATATTAAACAAAGTTTCTGGTTTACTTCCTGATTCACATAAGTGGAGGTAATATTTCATCTCTGATAAGCAATGTTCATAAATTAAATGATAATTTTTTTAATTTGCTATTTATTTAAAGTCATCCTAAGGCTTATTCTTCCTTAAATTTAGCTTAAATAATACAATTTCTAATTATTTAAATTGTGATAAGACAATTGTAATTAACGAAATAATATATAAATCAAAATGAATTGAAATAATTTTGGTAAAAATAACGCAAATAATTGGTTATACGAACATATATTGTCCAAGAGATTTTTTCTACCTTTACTTTCCAAATTAAAGTATTCTAGATTAGAAAAATAGAAATTGCAAATTGAAGTATTGGAAAAAGAATGAATAACATTTTCTGGATCCAAAGAGAGAGAGAGAGAAAGGATAGAGAAGGAATCATTTTTCTGGATGTAATAAAAAGGAGGAAAAAAAAGGGATGAAAGGATGGTGATGAGGAATGGCATGATTTTAACAATTTCAAAATAAGAAGATATAAGACAAATGATTGGCGAAATGGATAACTAAGTATGCGTCGAGTATGCCTCTAAGCCTTTTTTTTTTTTCAACAAAAAGTCAAAGTTAACTGATCGAAGTAATTTATAATTTCTTTCTTTCACTCTTTCATCATTCATTTCATTGATCTTTTGCCTTTTTCTAAATCGATTTGGTCAAATAGACGATGAAATGTTAGCTATTGTATTTGTTGATAAAAATTTTAGTTTCAAATTGTGAATTTAACGTAGTAAATTTTCTACCTTTACTTTCCAAATTAAAGTATTCTAGATTAGAAAAACAGAAATTGCAAATTGAAGTACTGCGGATGAGAAAAACAGAAGTGACAAATCTAAATATTCCGGATGAGGAGAACGGGAGAAAATTCCAATAAACATTATCATTCATTATTTAATATAATCGAAAAAATATCGTTTTTAGAATGAGATCGTATCTCGAGTATAAAAGGTAAAATATAATAATGAAACTTAAATACAGGAATGTAAGAGAAGTGAATTTAACTTAAATAATAAAACAATTTGTAACGAAGGTTAACAAAATGTTCATTAATGTCAAAATTTTTAACTTCAAACTATATTACACCATATGCTGGATATATCTAAATTTTAATGCTGAAAATTAAAGAATTCTGCAATTTAAACGAATAAGGTTATAGGTTAAATGCCAATACTCAGAACAGAATGCATCAATTAAAGGTCAGAACCTTAAGCAATAAAGAGTTAAAAAATTTATAATCCAAAAAATAATGAAGATTTTAAATATCTATGAGAAGTTCAGTCCTATAATTTGAAAAAAGAAAAGAAAAATTTTATTCAAAATAATACTTCGTTTTATCTTACACATTCAATGACCGTGAAACTAAAAATACTAGCTATATTAAAGTTGAGATTTTGAAAATTAAAATAAAAACTTGTTAAGAATGAATTTAAACTACTTGAAAGCTACTCTCAACGTTTAATCCTTTTTTTTAATTCAAATTAACGTATCATAAGATTTGTTGATTTTTTAGTAAATAAATTGAAATATTTATAAAAAAAATTTTAGAAAATAATTTAAAATAATCTTTCAAAAAATGATTGATAAAAAGAAAATTACCTGTGGTGTAATATGCTGATGTGCACCGGGAAAATAATACGCATGTGGAGGTGGTGGTGGTGGTGGTGGTGGTGGCGGTGGTGGTGGTGGCTGTGGCGGTGTTGAAAAATAGGATTGAAATTGTGGATATGATTGTGGTGAAATAGTACCAAATGCAGCTGCAGCAGCAGCTGCAGCTGCATGGGTAAATTGTTCCATACTAGTTGGTAATGATGCAGGACAGCAACTTTGTGATGCTACCACAGCAGTAGTATCACCTAAATATAATGATGGAAATTGTTGTTGTTGTTGTTGTTGGAGTTGTTGTGGATAATGATCATAATGATATGATGATGATTGCAATGAAAGTGATGGTGAATTCGAATTTGATGACACTATTGGTAGAGCAAATGAATTACGAAGTTGTTCCAAGGTTGGCTTCGATGTTGAATTATCCGATTTTCTTATTTCACCAGCACCAAACGGTAAAACACTCTAGTAAAAAAAAAAAATTAAAAATTGAAAAAATCCTATGAAAAGATAAGACTTGTTCATAATATTAGAAATGGAAAAAAAGAAATGTTTCATTAAATAAAAATTAATGTGAATTAAGACTGAAAAAGAAAAATAACATGCAAAGAATAGTTAATTATTAAAATTATATTCAATTTATAGAATTTAAAATTACAAATAGATAATTTAAGTTTCATAATTTTAGAAGAATCCTGTCATATTCGAAAGAAAACTACGATAAGGAAGTACTTGCCAGTATGCTTAAAATGCAAAATTTATTTTTAATTACAAATTAAAATCATACAGCAATCAATTAATCTATTCAGAATTATCAATAACATCCAAAAATTATATGATTCATCTACCGAAATGCATTTCCGCATGATTCATTTATGAACTTTGGTTATTTCCGTATAACCTTCTATGAGTTATCCGGATTACCCATCTATTCAATGTGTATCATAAATCGGCTATTAGTTAAACAACATATCAAGTCATACCGTAAATCAATTATGTAATATCAGATATCATTTTTTAACAGATAAGCGTCTACTGTGTTTTTTTCCTTTCCCTTCTACCATCTTTTAACTTACTATCAAGTTAACCATCCAGTGTATTTGGAAACCACTGATCTATTAGTTGGGTTTCCGGTTCAGATATTTCTGATCGTTCATTTTTAACAAATATATTAGTATCGTTCCGATTTGTTTAAATCTATCGGAATATATGATTCACATATGTTTCCAATGTTACAATATCATAATAAAAACCATCAAACCGTAAAAAAATAATATATATATATGTATGTATATGTACATATATATACATATATATATATATATATATATAAATTCTGAAATTTATTTTCCGAGTATCGTTCCGATTTGTATATCAGTATCGTTCCAATTTGTATATCAGTATCGTTCCGATTTGTATAACAGTATCGTTCCAATTTGTATAACAGTATCGTTCCAATTTGTATATCAGTATCGTTTCGATGTGCAGATTTCAAAGTTAGAAGAAGTATATAGTTTAATTGTCAATTTCACTTCACTTCACAATAAAATATCAAATATGCCACTATGAAACACGGCCACATACATACACACACAAACAAAACACACCACATACACATGCACACAGACATACACATACATCATGCATATAGACGACATACATAAATACAACATCAAAAAAAAAGGAAAAAGGAAAAGACCACAACAGTTAGCAAAATTATCCGTAAAACCTGATCTGTTGTATTAGATGAAAAAGCATATATTGATGGATACTGTAGTTGAGTACAAGCAGACTGATAATTACAACTGTTGGCAGAATTCAAAAGTTGAGCTAACTCTTTTTCATCAATCTGAAAGTAAAACAAAAACAAAAATCGATCTCTTTTTCGTCATTATTTCAAGGAAATTTTAAAATTTGTTCAAATTATGCAATTAAATTGGAAAATATAAAATACAAACGAAAAAAACAAAAAACATGAATTTCGATTCAAATTTAGCATTAACATATCATTTACATGTTTATTATCTTCAATTAATAATATTTATTTGATAAAAATATGCAAAAATCATCGCTTTAAATATTCATCCAAATTAAACAAAATAAACTTGAATTCTTATATCATATTTTAGTATTTATTCATAAAATAATTAATATGTGAGAAAAAAACCAATGTCGAATTTAATTAAATACTTGAAGAACAAAACTTGTTAAATTCAGTATTTCCGATAATTATTTCAGTTTAGCAATTAAGTAAATGCGCTAAATAAAGGATTAAATTCGACATTTTTCAGTGTGGAATTTAAGTACTTAAATAAATGTGTTAAATTCAGCATTTTCGATGACCATTTCAGTTAAACATTTAAACAAATGCATCAAATTTTACATTTCCTATGTCTAATTTTTGTTTGATACTTGGATAAAACATGCTTAACTCTAAATTTTTAACATTTATTTAGTTCAGAATTTGAATATAAGTGCTAAATTCTACATTTTCTATCATTAATTAAGCAGTTAGTAAGTACAAATTTGATATTTTTCAATATTTAATTGCAGTTCAATACTGGAAGAGATATATTTATTCGATTCATACTTATCACGTGGATGAAAATTTGTTGCAAAATTTATCAATAAAAATGGTGAATGAAATGTGACACATACCAAATACCGTATACCCATGAAGAAGAGCACAAGAAAAGATGGTTAGAAAAGATAGACATTCAAATATGGTTAACTTCTTGTTATCAAAACTTAAATTGAATTATGTTAGGGATAGAATAAAAGAAGATGTATTTTCGATATAAAATACGAAAAAACCATTCAATTTTCTATCAATCTTCCTTTTTTAATTTTAAACTTTAATATAAAATTAGAATTCAAAGCATACTTTTTTAATATTTCGATTTTGTATTCGTCGATTAATTTCCTTATCGATTTCATTCATTTGTTTTTTGATCAAAACAGATGTTCGACATTCACCCTGAACGTTGCTTATAGCATTATTACCATTTGACGATGATGATGATGATGATAACGATGATTCAAGCATATTTTTCGATGATAATGAAGAAGACGAAATTGAAGTTTTTGATGGTATTGCTTCCGATACTTTTTCTTTAGTGATAATTTCAGAATTCTCTTTTTTCACTAAAGTTTCATCATTCGTACTATTCGAACATTTTGCAGTATTAGTTGAATGATTACTTTCACTCTCCTGAAAACACGTTTATTCTCAGTATAGAAATTGGGAAAAGAAAACGAGAGATATAATAAATTTCAAGAAATGTTTTAAAAGAAAAATGATGCAAAAAAAAATTTAAACCCACAAATTTGATAATACTTGAATCCATAATTTAGATAGCTCGGAAAAAAAAGGAGAGAAAAAGAATGAAATTGAAGAAGAAAAAATTACGAATAAAAAATTTACGGATTTCATTTCATTCAAAATTATGATTCAAACCTGGCTATTTTCTTTCAGATTAGTTATGTCATCCTGTTGTTCCGCTAATTCAACATTATATCCTATAAAAGAAATTTCCTCAAATTTGAGCTAATTTTAAATCTTTACAAAACAAATCAATCATTATGCTATATGCATTATTGTTAACCAGGTTCGTTTTCCATAATAATGTTTCAAATATCAGATTCAATTACTGTAGCAATCTTTAAAACACTGCTAATATACTACATTCATTATTAAAGTAATGTGTTTCAAATTTATTACATAATAACAGGTTCAGTGATTTAGGATAATCTATTAATTTTTAATATTTGGTTTTATCAGTTCTGATTCCATTTTTTTTTTTTTAAAGATATTCTAATTGTTATACCTCAAGCGTATTATATCGTCTTTTGCATTTCAATTTGAAAAAAAAAAAAGCTAATAGAGAAGGTAAAGAATATCCCAGTATACACATAAAATCTATGAATATTTTTTTCGACAGAAAAATTAATAATTGAAATATTTCAAAAAATAAAATTTTCTTTTTTTTTTGGAGGATATCATTTCTTACCATTCACTTGTTGTAATTCACATCGAATTTCATTACTTTCATCACCTTTCATTGTGCAACTTTTACATTCATTACCTTTTTCCGCCTTATCCATTTTCTTCCCAACATTTAATACGGCTAAATTTGTTTTCGAAATCTAAAACAAAAAGAGTAATATTTGTTAGCAATTAAATAATAATTTAATAAAGTAAAAAGAAAACAGAAGAGAACGTAGAGAAATTTTATGATTAAATCGAATAACATAAAATTAAATGAAACTACTTCTTTGTTTCACTTTCCTTTTTTTTTTTTGAAAAGCTTTTGGATATATTTTTAAAACCAAATAATTTTCATTGAATTTAATTTTTATTTTTTCTTTTATAAAATATCAAATTAATCGTAAATTAAAATTTCTTTCGGTCTTTGACTTTGTATTCTGCTGTAATTAATTTTTTTTTTTTTTGTCAAGCATTTTTCTCTTAAAAAATTGCTATAAAAACGACAGAAATATATTTGCCATTCGATGCTATTATATCAGTTGACGGTTAAATTGCAATATGATACTAGTTTGAAAACAATTCCGCTTAATGGAAAAATTAATTCCAAAAGCATTTCCTCTCTTTCTTTTCTTTCTTTTCCTCTCTCTCTCTCTTCTTTTTTATTAAATTTTCATTTGGTCAAGAATTATATATTTAGCGGTAATGGCAAAAGCTCATCTTAACAAATTCACTTTTTTCTTGCAAATTTAATGAGTATCCATGCATTCAGATAATATGTATAAAATCCGTCATCCATTTTCCTCTTTTTCTCTCTTCATCTCATTAATTTCTTTTTTTTTTTTTTTTATTTCGAGAAGACACACACGATAATAGATGATATGAGAAGATGGAGTAAAGAAATCGCGGGAAGAAAATGAAATAAGGAGAATGGAAGAAGGGAGAAGGGAGATAATGTAATATAAATGATTAACGAATTTTTCCCCATTTTCTTATACTTGAAATTTTCCTAATTTCATTCCTTATTGTTTCAGCAACAAATAAGTGCCATTGATTAATACATGAAACGGTTTATTACATTAAAAATTAGAAATAATATTAGAAATTGTTTAAAATTTTTTAAACTAAATACATTTAAAATTTTCTTATTTAATTTGAATTTAAATCATTTTGTCAACTGTCAACCAAAAAATATTTTTAGCAATAAATTCCAATGAAAAATGAATAAAATGTCCAACTTTAACATTCAATGAAATGAATTTTTCAATTATTTTAATTTCAGGGCAAAAAAAAAAAAAAGAAAACAAAAAAGAACAAATGTAGAAAGAAACTATGACATGCTGAAATTTATCATCTAACATGTCACTTTAAGAACTTATCGTGATAAAACAAAATTAGCAATTGCTAGAACGTTTTCATAAATATTGGATAATTCATCAAAAAACCGCGTAAACAAACTTATTAATTTAATATGATTGCATACTGTACTATGTTATATAGATTGATATACTGTATCATCTTATCATCTTATAGGTTATCCAAAAAAATGATTCCAAAATATCCTAAAAACTAATCAATTAGCTGGATTCAGTAATCTTTTAAAATGATTGAATATACTAAAAATCTCTACCGGAACAGGATTAGCATATTGTGATACAGCTGGATTGTTTAGATAGAGCTGTTGTTGCATACTTTGAATTAAAGCAGGTAAAGCATTCGGAAAATCTATCTGGAAATGACCGGAATCAATAACGGATGACTGCTCCTGATTATCATCCAAAGACTGCAATAAACATTAAATAAAAGCTATTTTTGATTTGATCAACTTGAATATCATCATTCATAAATCAGCATGCACAAATTGAAAGTAATAAGTTAATTAAATTTAGTAATTTGTTTTTTTTTCTTCATATCACGTAATAGAAGTAATGTAAAATTACGTGATAGAATTTCAAATGACAAATGATGCGTTATGTTAAAGTTAAATATTAATTTAGAAGATATTTTTAATAAAAATTTAAGTATTTACAAGAAAATCGGTTGAACATATTTATGATCTTTAATGGAATGAAAAATAGTATGAAGATAATTATCCGGTAATGCTAAGCTAAGCAATAAGCAATTATCATCCTTCTCCGATCAGATATAGATGGATGATAGGAACTGTATGAAGAATGTTTTGAGATGGGAAGAAATACGGTAGAGGGAAAAATGCTACAAATTGAATTTCTGAAATTTTATCAGTTATCAGACAGTCATAGTTTCCTAAAATGATATATTATATCAGCTTTTCTATTTCCTATCGCCTACAGCATTTCAAGTCATGAATAACAACATATTTATGATCATAAGATTAGATCAATAAAACACTATAAGTAAACTTCTACTCCTATCCATTTTAGGATAGATATTTTATTGTTTGTTTATTAATGAGTAAATTAAATGCTTGTTGTTACACATCAAATTACAATATAATTCAGTGGTTTTTTTTTTCCGTCGAGAAAAAAAAACAAAGTAACGGAATATCTTAAATATTTTCAAAATAAAATTTTAATCAATATTTTGTCTTTCTATATTCTCATGCTTTTCTTTCATTATATAAATAATTCTCCTCTCTTACTAATTTAACCAAATCCTTTAAGTTTTCCCTCTATAAAAAGCCTTAATGATGTTAGCTAATTCTTTTATTTACAACAAATGGTTCAAAATTTTCAACAATTTACATTAACTATACACATTTAAACTAATTATTAATTGAATTTTCATTCTTATCAAATATCAATCACTTGATAAATATGTCCAAAAAATATGAATATGCAAATTACACGTGGGTCACACGTGGAGTATACGTACGACACTGTTGACTGATGCAAACTACATGTAAAACATTCAGTTAAATCATGCTCAGTATTATTAATCATATAATTATATGATCTATCGTGTTATGAATATTAATTTCTAATTTTACCTTTCCCTTCTTGTAGGGAATGATCAGGAAGAAAAAGTATTTACTCTAATAAGTGATACTTATCAATTAATGGACATTTAGATAAAAAATGAAAAATGGAAATTAAAACGATAGGATTTTGATGATTTCGGAAAAAAAGAAAGAAGGAAAGAGGGAGAAACAGAGAAAAATGGAAGAAATAAGAAAATATATGGTGGAAAATGCTCGCTGATAATGATAAATGAATGATAAAATTGATTAGTTGTTAATGAATACATTAAGTAGATGGAAATCTAATCTGAACAAAAATTACAATTGAAATTTACATATAGGTAAAGTCAAGTTAAAATGAAAGAATAAATATAAATAAATTCATAAAACTTTAGTTATACTTCGATTTCAATCCAACAAAATTTGAATTGAAATTAAAATAAGAAAACTTAGGTGATGAAGTAAGACTAACCTGATTATCAGTAGTAGTAGTAGTAGTAGTATTAGTAGTAGTAGTAGTAATGGCAGTAGTAGTAGTAGTAGTAGTAATAGTAGTAGTGGTACCAGTACCATCTAATGACATATTACTACCAGGAAGATGTGATGCAGCTGCCATCAAACTTTGAATATAATGTTGCATCATTTCTTGGCATTGTAAACTTTGCATAACATAATTGCCGGTTTGTAATGGATTACTTCGGTAATCACCATTTTCTGGACCGGTTAATTGGGAAGAACAATCAATTGATCCACTACTACCACCCAGTGATGTTGCAGTTACAGTAGCAGCCTGTTGTGGCATAAATGGTGTCATGAAGGGATTAGCAAAAAATGATGGCATTGAATTTGGCATCATTGGCGACGAATTATTTGCTGAAAAATAATCAAAAAAATTATTAAAATTTATGACAAAAAAAACATAAAATTATTTTTCCAACATTTTCATTAATTAATTATGATAGAATCATGGTAATTATTTTGTAAATAATTACGGAAAAAAGAAAAAAAACGGAAATCAGATTTTTAACGAATTTTAACGGATTACCGTAAAATATAAAACAGAGAAAGAGAGAAAAACAAACAATCTTTTTTTTTTTCATTGTACTTTCAAAAATTTCCTTCTCTTATCAGTTAATCATTCTTTCTTCTTCCTTCCTTTCTTTCTTTCTCCTCTTTTTACCATAGTCATCTCATCTTTTACCATTCTATTTCATAATAATTATCCAAGCTTTTTTCCCTCCTCTTATCTTTTCATATTTCATTCATTCTGCCTTCTTTTTTAGTAAAAGAAAAAGAAATTTTTTCGTTAAAATTAAAAAGGAAAAAATCGTTAATTAAAAATGAAGGAAAATTCAATCATTAATTTCCCTCCTCTCTCTCTTTTCTTTCGTTTTCCTTTTAATTTGTTTCTTTTCATTCTCTGTCCATTTGCATTTTTCTCTCCGACCAATACAAAAAAAAAAAAAAGAAAAAAGGAAAAGGAAAAGGAAAAAGACAAAACAAAGTGAAATCTGAATCATATTAATTAATGAAAGTTAATTTTAAGGAATAATATAATGCATCAATCAATAATTCCATATTATTACACTGAGATCATTAAGTCATTCATTTCGTTTGAATTTAAAAAAAAAATCCTAAATTACTTTTAATTTTATAAAAATTTCTTCTATCTCTCACTTAAAAAAAGAGAAAAAACCTTTGATCAACAAATTTTATTTTAATTAACAATCATAAAAAATAAATTACACACATACACACCAGCACATGCACACATACACACACACATACATACACACACACACAAACATACACACACACACACACACACACACACACACACACACATACAAACACAGATAAACATTAATATAATCGTATATGTTACACTATCCGATAGGCCAATATCGGCATATTATTCACCAGTCGAATTGTCACTCCCAAATAGTGTATGTATTCATTGGTTCATTCCAATGATTAGCAACTCTATATTGCAAAGGATTTTATTTGTTACTCATGAAATTCGATCATCAACAACGAACCAAACATGAATGAAACTATCAATTGAAATGAAATTATCTAACACACACATACACACATGTACGAACATACATACACATACACACATGTACAAACATACACACACACACACACAAACATACACACACACACACACACACACACATACATCCATAAATATTATAAAATGTATATAAAGGATGAGGAGGAGCTTTAAAGTGGAAAATGATATGAATGATTAGTTAAGAAAACAAAATTCCACAAAATTCAACCGAATATTTCCTAAAAAATACTGAAAAAAGAAATTATAAAATAGTAAGAA